GGTCGGGCGGTCGGTCGGCCGTTGCCTTGGCAGCGAAGCTCTTGGAATTCTGCTGCTGCTGCGGCTGCGGCTGCTGCTGCTAGCGCGCTGCTGGAAAGCTAAAGCCGAAAAAAAACTAAACTAATGCTCAACATTTATCGATGATGACGGTACGCGCAGGGGGTGCGCGAAAGTGGCAAGACGCAGCCGAAGGAGCTTGTGGAATTGACCCACAAATATTGCTATAGATAATTATGTTAACCTCTCTGGCGCTCTGTCTGGCAGCGCATAAAGATTGTCGCGCATCAGATAATGTGCGAGATGAAGAGCATGGTGATAAGATAGTCTGCCTGGGGTAAACTGATGCCATGAAACCAATTGAAATGACTTGGATGGATCCCCCCTCCCAAGCCCATTGTAAATTCAGCTAAAGTTCAAGTGCGAGTAAACAAGAAAATACAGCTGAGTGCATGAAGCGGAGTTAAGATCATGTCCAGAGCAGAAGGTAACGGATGAAGTCATTGCGGCTATAAACATGCACAGACATGCACAAACAAGCATGCATCTGCATGCATGTGTGGTTTGTGTGAGCTTGAGCTAGAGTTCAGCTGAAAAGTATGCAGTGACTTTTATGCTTAACGTAGCGCATTGGCGCTGGCCACACACACATACAAACACACACTCGCACACGCACACGCACACATGTGCAAAATGTAAATTCTGTGCTGTGTGTGAGTGTGTGTTGGTTGGGTGATAAAGCCATAGATATAGCTTGGCCTGCATGAGTGTGGATAATGGCGCGGCGAAAAGTCGAAACGCACACAGCACACACAAACACACACACACATACATGTCTATGCACACCCACACACACACACACACACACATGCGCGCACATAATAAGGTGCGATTTGTCTCGCGCATAAAACGAAATTTCCTGCAAATACACACAACGAAACACGCTCACACATACACAGACACACATACTTGGGCAACAATGGTCGCACAGCAGGTGGAGCGAGAGAGCGAGACAGCGACCTAGAAAGAGTGAGAGTGAGAGAGAGAGGAAGAGGTATAGGGAGCCCAGTTTCGATTGCTTTGTTGCTTGTATATGACAGCGTGTCTTTGTGCGTCTGTGTGCGTGTGTGAGTGTGTGGGGAGGACATCTTTGTAGGTTAAGGCTCATGTCAAAGCTGGCAAACTGGTGCGACAAAAAGGGCGTAAGGCTTTAGGCGTGGCAAACTCGTTTGCCATAATTATTGCCTTTGTTGTTGCAGGCGTGTGTGTGTGAATATGTATGTGTGTGTGTGTGTGTGTGCATGTGGCATTATTATTTTAACCGGAAATGTGCGTTCTGCCCTTTTCCCCTATCCGCCCACAACCAGCAAAAATTGGTGAACTGCATGAACTTTTTATGCGCCATAGAATGTAGAGCAACTAGGGTCTGATAAATGGGCAGATAAATACAGAAAAAAAAACGAGAAATACAAGATAATTTTCAAAACTAATATTTCCAAATATAAAATTTGCTTGAATTACTTGATTAACATTACTCCAACATTTTTACAGGATATATGCTAGTCGAGCACTCTAACTTGTTTTTCATATACATATCTATGTATATATTTTTGCATTGGCGGAAGCTTTTGCTTCGTGCCGGCGACAACATTTAGCAAATTTTTTATGACAATGTCGAGCAAGCTCTCTCTGCGCCCCACTCTCTCCCACACGCCCTCGCTCTCTTTCGCTCATTCTCCTTTGTGCTCTGCTTAACCTCAGCTGCCGACAGCGCCCACTTTTATGACAAATATTATGTTAAAGACCGAATATGCGCTACGCCATAAAAGTCAATCATTTTTCATTTCGCTTTGCGCGTCGCTGCCAGCTGCGACGTCGCTGTCGTCGTCGCCGTCGCCGTCGCTGAGCTGTCCGTCAGAGTCACTCTAGCAGCGCCATTCACACAAAAACCAAACGTCCCGCCGCTGCCGCTGCTGCTGCTCCTGATTTTGCCTTTGGCTCTGCTTGATTTTGCCTTTCTTCTCTTTTCTTTCATTCTTCTCTGCTCTGTACTGTTCAGTTTTTTTTTTTTTTTCAGCCTGTCCGCTGGGGACATTTAATTTTTGGCGGTCATTCGTTGTGATTTTCCTTGATATGCGATATAGTATTTTATGTACAGTGTGTGTGTGTGTGTGTGTGTGTGTGTGAGTGTGCGTGTATTTGTTTCAGTGTATTTGACGCTCTGGCTGGCTTGACTAAGCGCTTGTTGTTGATATTTGGCGCGGCTTGCTTCAATTTATGTGCTGTTTGCCTTTATTGTCGAGTTTTACTTGTTCCCATTTTCAATTTTTATTTTGCGCTCTTCCCAATTTTTTTAAAGGACCTTTTTTTTAGGGTGCGTGGATCACATTTGTTGTGTTGTTGTATTGATAAGTTCATTTAATGGGCACGGCCTCTGCCCACGCACAAACACATATACACACACATATACTTCTGTGTGTGTGTGTGTGTGTGTGTGTGGCATTTGTTTGAGTGCGTTGCGCCTAATGAGTTTAATGCTTTGTTATCAGCGCTGTAATCTGCTTATGTAATATGCGGCCAAAACTTCAACATAATTGAATCACAAATTATGTCATTTTGACTTTATTTATGTATGTATGGGTGTATGTGTGTGTCGGTCTGTCTGTGACTTTTTATACATACATACACACACACACACGCATATATACACTCACGAGGTTTGAAGGCCTTGGGCGCAACTTTAAACGCATTAATTGCCAGATTGTCAGCGATTGGAGTGAGTGGCAATTAAGCAGAGCTCAGATAAACGTTTTAATGGCAAATGCTTAAGCATTTCGCTACTGACTTAACGTTTGCATACATGTAGCATGTGTTAGAGCGAGATAAGTACTATGGCAAGCTGATCATTTAAGCTACAGTATAGATTCTCTAATACTAACGCAACCTTATCCGGTACTGGCATATTTTTGTTTTGATAAATTTCATAATCATAATTTACTCGTTAAATTAAACAATATTTTTATTTTTTATTTATTCAATGTTGTCTTATGTTTAGAATTGTTTAATAGCATATCTGTTCAAATTTAAAGGCTTTACTGTAAATACAAAGCGCTGTTTGTCATTCGTCAGCTTACATTACAGCTTGGCGAGGCGTATTTCGTGCATATGAGCGAGACAAACAGAGACAATCGAAGCAAACAATTTTGAATGTATGTAGTTCACCTAAGCGCCATTTGCAATCAAGTTGCAATTACCGCTCAGCTTGTTAGAGCGAGACAAAAGTAGTAGCAAAATGATCTTAACGAACTTTCGTTAAATATGGTCGCCGCAAATATGCATTTGCAATAGCAGCCTGATTAGCCTATTGGAATAACAGCTTTAATGTGTTAGAATGAGAGCGCAGCCACTTTTATACATATTTAAACAAAAAGCCATAGCCAGCTAATTTATAGCGCTTCTCTAAACCTGCATTTTATCGCAGAAATTAACTAATTTTAAATGTCTCATCAATTAGCGTAGCGAAATGAAAAGCAAACCATTTAGCACGGCAATTGTCACAAAGCAATTAGAATGGGGAAGACCACACCTGATCGGTTTCTGTTTGTTTTCAGAGCATTTTTTTTTATATTTTTTGTGTTTTGCTTGTAATGCAGTCGCCGGGACACGTGCCTCGGGCCTGTCTTCCTCTTCTTCTTTTGCCCATCACGTTGGCTGTCAATGACGGAAGGCCACTTTCATTTTGTAGGAAAAGCAAATGAAACTTAACGGAAAAGAAAATTACATCATGCTCGTTTCAATGGGTCGACATAATATTATTTTCCTTCGTTTTTTCTGTTGTTTTTTTTTTTTTTTTTTTATTATTATTTCTGCTCTTCTTCTGGTGCGCACCCACTGTTTGAGCCATATCCACGTGCAAGTTCGCTCTCTCTTTGTGTGTGTGATTGTGTTTGTGTGTGCTTCATCATCGTCTTCCTTCTGTCGATTTTTTATTTATTTATTTTATGCCTACGCACATACGCGCCAAGCAGTTTGACAGGTGTCGCCGACTGAGTGGCTGCCTGATAAGAGAGGCGCGGGCGGACAGGCGGCTATGTGTGTGGAGGCGTGGTCTCTGTGTGTGAAAGCCTCGCGGGGTAGTTGGCATGGAATGAAAAATGTCGCCCTATTATTCTTTGTATTGTTTTTATGCGGCAGTTATACGCTTATTTTTGTTGTCTTTTAATAGACGTGGCAAAGTGCGCCCAAAAGACAAAGGCAGTCGAGCAAGCGCTGGGGCTACTTTACCTACTCAATAAAAATAACAACAACAAAAAATAAATAAAAACGGAAACCCCCGCGCACAGACACAGGCAGACAGGCCACACCCAGCCCCTGTGCCTGGAGCCTTCGTCTGCTGGCGTTTTATCATCATCCAATCAGTAGATAAATAACACATAAAATGAGGTGCTTAATCGGGTTTGAAGTGATGAAAGTGAAACTGTGCTTCTCTCTCTCCCTCTCTCTCTCAGCCGTTTGCCTGCCGCCTGTCTTGCGCCCTGTCTGTCTGACGCCAAGGGGGCTGGGTCTTTGTCTTCGGCATAAATCTAAGGTAACAACTTTATATTTGTATATCAGTTACTTAAGAGCTTGTCAATTGCGCGTGACAACATAATTTACCATTAAATTGTACGCGTAGACAAGTAATTTGTCAACATTTATTTGCATTATATGCGAAAACAAGTTAATACAATTGATTGACAAGCAGCCACGCAGCTAATGTAAAGCACGCGCAATTTAAATTTTGGCGCTCACCCAAACGAAAACGTAGTTAACCTCGAATTTAAATTTCACGAGCAACTTAACGAAAAGCTAACTGAGATACAATTTAAATTGGGCGCTCAACTGAACTACAAGCAAGCTGAAATTCAACCAGGTTGGCAGCACATACGATGTATAATTCTATGGTTGGTCGAACGACCGCCACACTAACAATCGATAAAGTACACAGCTGTATTGTTTTTTTTTTATAGTGTGTGCGCTAATAGTAAGCAAAGTTATTGTACGCAAACAGTATTAGAACCGCTGAAAAATAAGAATAACAATTGGAAATATATTCAATACAAGTCTATTGCAGAAGCAATAAGAATTAAGTGTTTACAAAATTGACTACATATGCCGCAGTCGTTAAATAAATAGTACTAGTTGACGCCTCGTCGCTGCAGCGAAACACAGCTTGGAAAAGGCCAGAAAACGGCCAGGTAATGCAAAGCAAAAGAAAAAAAACTAGACAAAAAAGCTGCATTAATTTAGCATAAAATTAAGATTAAACTTTGTACAGTTAATTTCTTGTACTGTCCACCATCTGACTTGTTGAGCGTTTATTGATTTTTATGTTAAATAGAAATTTAATAAATACAAAAAGGAGAATATCTCGACGCTGACAGCTGTTATGGCTTTAAAAAATCGCTAAACAAAAAAAAAAAGGAAAAAAAAATGCTCAGACCGCTTATCAGGTGTGAAGAATTCTAAATTGATGTGTTTTTTATCGGTCAGCTACGCATTTAGTGCGGGTGGTTATCATGCTAACGCCTCTTCCCCACCCACAAGAAGCTGTTAAGTGATTCGAATTGCTTGTTAATTAGTTTTGTCTACGATTTTGTGGCTCAATAAAAGCCGTTAGGCAGCTAAACAACCGAAAAACATCTAGGTACTAATAACTTAATTATCATTTCACTTTGATTGCAGCAATGACTCTCTAATCAAAATCAAATCAATTGTCAAAGCAGAACATCAAAAATGAAACCGAAAAGCTGGCGACACAAGCGTAAATAACTAAGTAAGAACAAACGTTAGTTAACGGCAAATAAGGATACTAAAACGAAAGAAGCCTACAAGAAGTTAGGCTAAGGGAAGATGCTTGGACGCACGCAAAAACTGCTGCTGGGACTGGCCATCCTGTTGCTGGTCAATGTCCTCTGGGTATCATCCAGCGAGCTAAGCAAGGTATACAGTTACTCATTAATATTTAAAGCATATAAATAAAAAGCTCCATCTCACACAGATTCTCTACGAGGACGATACATATAATAAGCCATTTTTTAACACATACTTCAAGACATCGATGTTTAGCTTCTATTTGTTGATCATTGGCATTATAGCGCCCTGGAAGGAGTCCTGCGAGCGTCAACATGGCAATTACGCGGTTTGTATAGTTTAATGCATGTCCTGTAAACATAATAATCTATTTGAAATATTCCCGTTTAGATGATGGAACAGAATGCCGACGAGGAAAACTATTATAGCAATCAAGCGTCTTTGGTTAGATAATCAGCTCTTGACTCTCTGCTGGATTCTAACTGGTTTCATTTCACTTTGCAGGGTGATTCGACCTTTGTGCCCATACGTGTGGCTAATCCTATAAATGGCATGGTATCCGGCACGGAGAGCGATGATTCCAGTGTGCGTAGCGTTCGCTTTTGTAAGATGGCCGAGGTGCGTGAGATGTCGGCGCATGAGGCAACGGATGCTTTAATGGCTCGACTGTCGTACGCCGCGAGCATGAGGATTAAAAGACAGAAAACGCATCACAAGACAGCAAAGACGGCGTTGCTCTTCTGCTTACTCTGGTTCGCTGCGAATTACTTTTCCCAGCTCGCTTTGAATATGGATGAAGAGCCCATGATAACGCTCATCAGGTGAAGTCATCTTCATTTCAAATGTAAATTAAGTTGCTAACGTTATATTCCCTTGCAGATCCACTTCAGCCACATTGTTTACCATATTGTTAGCTGCCCTATTTCCGTCTGCCATGGGCGACAAGCTGACCATAACGAAGCTAATTGCTGCAATGATGAGCATTGCCGGCGTCGTGGTCATCAGCATGAATGATTTGCACGACTCGAAGATGACGCGCGGCGTTCTCTTGGCTCTATTTAGTGCATTCTTCTATGCATCGTATTTGGTGTTTGTCAAGCGAAAAAGTGACACCGAGGAAAAGGTGGACATCCCTTTGTTCTTTGGTAAATGCGACGAACAGTCTCGACTGGATTGTTTATTTGCTTATATTTATTTTGTTTGCCTTGCAGGCTTTGTTGGTCTCTGGAATCTGTTGCTGCTATGGCCCATTTTCTTTATATTGCATTTCACCAAGATCGAAACATTTGAGATGCCAAGCCAGGGACAGTTTGGCATACTCTTCTTAAATGGCTTCATTTGCACAGTGCTCGCTGTGGCTCTCTGGCTATGGGGCTGTTTCCTCACCTCCTCGCTAATTGGCACGCTGACCATGTCGCTGCAAATACCTTTGACAATTGCATTTGATGTTCTGCTCAAGCAAAAGTCGTACACTTCATTATATTGGATGGGCTCGATGAGCCTAATAATGTCAGTGCTGCTTGTGGTTTTGCTAATGCGCAACGATGATTCAGATCCGCTAATGAAACTTTTCAAAGTTTTATATAGAAAGATCTGTGGTTGCCGCAATCCAAACATTGTGAGGTAATATTCAATGCAATATTTATATATTGGTGTTTATTTATATTGAATTTCAACTTAATCACAATGTTTAACTTTTTAGAGTTACCGACGATGAGCAACAGGAATCTCTTATCAATAGCAGCGATTAAAGTCTGACTACTGATTTTCTGGAAAGGCTTTTGGAAAACGCGCTTTCTCAACAATTTTAAAAATTGCTCACTGCAATCGCAATGCAAATCCAAAACTTGGCTGTTCACGACTTCGTTTCGAATCGTTCTTTAATCCATAGCGACAAATATATATACACATTCATACTATATATATTTATATATATACATATATGTATGTACGTAGCTGTAGTTAATACTTCGCACAACTCTCATATATATACATTAACTATAGCAAACGTTTCCTGATTGGTTTTTAAGTTGAAACCCTGGTTTTCCTGATTTGCAATTTTACCTACAATTAAGCTAATATATGTGTACATCTTATATTTATTATAAATGTTATTATTTTTGTGTAAATAGCTTTAGTCTTAGTGTTTATCTCTCTATATGTGATAGGTCTTTCGATATGCTGAAGCTCGGTTATAATTTATGCTATATTTAATGTTTTTGCTATAGTGCTCGACTATATAATTGATATTTATACACACATATATATATATATATACTTGTACACATACCCTCCATACTCAATTCTAACATTTCTAATGTTTTGTGTCTGATATACTCTGTATTTCATGCATAGAACACTTTATGTATTAATGATATATACTGCAAAATGTGTTAATAATATAGTATAAATACCTACACATATAATATATGTTTAAAATAATGTAAAGCTGCCTAACTTTGCAGTTGAGTCCCATTTGTGTGCTTAATTTAGCATAAACATATACATTTATGCATAGTTGTCTATTGTTAACAATAAACAAACAAAAAATACAGTAATATGTAACCCCAATACTGAATTTCCGCATGTAATTAATAAAAGTACATTAGTATGTATATAAATTCAGTTTTACTATTGCCAAGCAACAGCAAAAACGCCACTCCAAATAAATAAAAAAAAATTTTAAACTAATTTTTGCGCCCACTTTTATAGCTGCTATCGATATATCATGAAGCTTTACAGCACTAAAATGCTCTCATCGCTGTTTAATAGCATAAAGAGCCTCTGTTATTAACAGAGGTATAGCGGCAACTAACATAAATGTGCGCCATCAGTCTGATTCTGACGTCTGAACTGTGCGGACGTGTGTTCATTGTGTGAAAGAAGAAGATTTGGAATAAAAATGAAGTTTTCTCTGGCTTTGTGCCTGATTGCCATTACAGCCGGCATTGTGGTTGCGGATGAGAGCAAAGGACCCAAAGTGACCGACAAGGTAAGCACAAACAACCACATACACACAATTACGGCTATATTGTGTGCATCTGCGTCACTTGGTATACACAAACACATAAATCAACTGCGCGGCTGTTGTTTTTGTTCTCTCTGAAATATTCAAAATGTATTCTTTATGAATGTGTCTTTGTTGCGTAGGTTTTCTTTGACATCACCATTGGCGGCGAGGCGGCAGGTCGTATTGAGATCGGTTTGTTTGGAAAAACTGTGGAGAAGACTGTGAGGAACTTCAAGGAGCTGGCTGAGAAGCCACAAGGCGAGGGGTAAGTGAATATAAGCACAGTTACAATTCACATAAACAAACACACACACGCAAGTAGTTAAGATAGCTGTAGATGTATGCATACACACTATTTCTAAATACATGCAAGTGTGTGTGTGTGTGTATGTATGTGTTTCTCTATATAGCTGCATTTATAGGTTAGAGCCGGCGTGTATTGCTATCAATTACGTGGCGTTTAACTGTAAATAAGTTAACAAAAGCAAGATTTATCAACTGAGACCTTCTACTAATTTGCCAATTGTGCCACTGTGCCATTTCTTCTTCTGCTGTTCATTTCTATAGCTACAAAGGCAGCAAGTTCCATCGCATCATCAAGGACTTTATGATCCAAGGTGGCGATTTCACCAAGGGCGATGGCACTGGCGGCCGTTCTATCTATGGCGAGCGCTTCGAAGACGAGAACTTCAAGCTGAAGCACTATGGCGCCGGCTGGTTGAGCATGGCCAATGCTGGCAAGGACACCAACGGTTCACAGTTCTTCATTACCACCAAGCAGACCAGCTGGCTGGATGGCCGTCATGTGGTCTTTGGCAAGGTTCTCTCCGGCATGGATGTGGTGCGCAAGATCGAGTCGAGTGCCACAGACGCACGCGATCGTCCCGTTAAGGATGTGGTCATCGCCAACAGCGGCACCATTCCAGTTCCCGAACCCTTCGCCGTCTCCAAGACTGATGCCACAGAATAAGCAATATTCACATACATATATATAAATATAACTACCACTCGCATATATACATATTAGTGTGGCTTTTAAACGAAATGTCTTCTTAAAAATTATTCAATTCAAAATGCATACAGCAGCAATCGATTTTTCTCAGCGTTTGAGTTGAGAATTTGCATTTAAATTAACAATAACAAATAACAGCAAAATACCATACTGTAAGCGATATACTCTCTGCTCAAAACAACAAACTTTTTCTCAAATTTTCAATGCATTATAATTAAAGTTTTGTGATAAAAAAATAATAATTTTATTCGTGTTAAGGGTTTTGTTGGGTGCTGCGGTTCATTGAACTGGTTTCTTCTTTACTACTTCTCGCTATCTCCCTCTAATGGAACCGGTTTAACATCAGCCGCATCATTAAACTCTGCTTCTTCTTCTGGTGCCGCGTTTGCAGCTGACTTTGTCGCTAATTTTTGTTCCCTGTTTCTTGCTCTTTTCTTTATTGTGCTGCGCTTGTTTGTTGTTATTGTTTTATTTGTTTGTTTCTTTATTTTTTTTATTTATCAAAAAAGCTGACACAGTTGTCTGTTTGCGATTCGTGTCACGTTCTTTAGCAGCAGAACGTCAACTAGCTGAGCAAATATTTATATACATACATATATATTAATGCGTTTGTCAATGCCAATTTAAGCTCACGAAGTTCTAAAGCAGCCTTGGTTTACAACAAAAAACAAAAACAAGATGCGACACTTGCCGACTAGCATGAAACCCGTTCTTGCACGAAGCCAATCAGAACGTTGAATGCCAATAAGAAATTGCTGCGATTTCATTTTTATTTCATTCCAATAGGATTTACTTTTATGACTCCATTTAATTAAACAATAACTAAATATAATTTTGCTGTTATCATACATCAATCATATCCAATACTTATATTGCCACTGAATTAAAAATATGAAATATCTAATCGCATGCTAATCAGACTGCCTGGTTTCAAATTAGAATATATCGTTATCAGGCATTTTCTATTATTTCAACCCATAAAAACTAAACAAAACACTTAATTGTTTACATTTGCCACACTTGAATGCTGCACGGAGTGCATCAACCCTAAGCAGATATTCCGGCTTCTGATTGCTGCTCGCCTATTCCAATTGGAGTATATGGTATATTTATACGGAATGCATTAAAACTGAGAAAAGTAATTATGATCTGTATATATTCGGCGAGCAGTTGCAGCAATTAAATATATATGTAAACAAGTCCACTTCCCCCTCCAGTTACATGCAACAGAGAGGCAATCGAAGAGAGAGAGAGAGAGAGAGAGAGAGAGAGAGAGAGAGCGGATCTTACTTCGAGTGGCTCCCCAATATATAAAAAATTGCCTCAGTCAGTGCAATTGTATCCCCCATTTATATAGAGGGTATATACATATATATGCATATGTGTATTGTTTATGTCGGCTCACAATCGCATGTGCCACACATGTTTCCCATATTCAGAGAGAGAGAGAGAGAGAGAGAGAGAGAGAGACTGCGATAGGGAATGAGTGAGAGGGGGGAGGAGCAAGAGCTACTTATATGTACATCTACAATAACCACACAAATTCTAAGATTATTTACTGCGAGCAATCGACGCGAGGAGACAAAGTGCTTGCATGGAATATTCTAAAGAGCCGTAAGAAAAAAGGATTGTGCAACGAAAATCTTTATAAACTGCAGTTTCATTTATAAAGGATTGAAGACGAAAGAGAGTTAAGTTTAAGCAGTTTACTATGGTGAGTTATGAGTGCATAAAGTGTAAACGCAGAGCAGATCCGGCAGTTTCTATATATACATATATATTTTATTGATAAGCAAACGAACTGAGAGCAGTCTTTGATGATGCTGCTGATGTGTACCAATCAAATCTTTTTGAGACACACATAATTGAATTTCAAAATTCATTAAAGATTGTGCATTTGTTTGAGCCAGAAAATACAAATATTACATATTAAACTATTCCAATATAAACATGTATATGTATTTATATTCAATACATTTTTAATCAATTGAATTAATCTAAAAGAAAACCAACTCTAATCACACAGTTATATAGTCGAGAGCATTTGATTAATAAGCGTAAGCTCAGTTAGCAGAAACAGAATGATTTATATAACGATAAATAAGGAGCTCATAGGCAAGCTAAGACGGCAGAGCATATATTAAAGAGAAAGTTTTGCAGAAATTAGGGACAACTTAAAGAAGAAACAGAATTTTAAATTAGATAAATAAGAAAAGAAGCCCTACACAAAGGCAGTATAAAGCCTAAACTATATATAAATCAAAGACCTTTCGAAGTGGAAGACCGACTAAAGCTAATCACAATTTACATATATCTAAAAGCAAGTCATAAGCAAATACAAAATATAAATATGGTACAATATAATATAAATACAAATAGGTAACCTACCTGAACTCCACATGAATGCATTAATCTATTCCACATATACATTACATATAATTATCCGCTCCACTTTAACAGCAATCAAAATCATGGTCTGTGCTTTACCTAGCGCTGCTCAGCCTGCTGCTGGGATTGGGAAACTGTCGTGGCGCCAATATACTCGTGCTCTTTCCACATGCGAGCGAGAGTCATTTTGCTGTGATGCGGACCCTGGTGGCCGAGCTGGCCAGCAGGGAGCATAATGTAAGCAACGCTGTATACACATATCTAAAGTCAAACGATTCCTATCATCATATCCAAATCCATTGCAGTTAACTGTTTACTGCGGACATGGCCTAAATGATAAGCTGGAGCGAGTTGTGGAGCATGTTGTGCGGCCCGAATTTGACTTTTGGAGCAACTGTAAGCAAAGCGAATATTTAGTCACATATACAAGTAAACATTACTCTATTCACCATAGTGCAGGAGCAAGCAGCACCAGGTGGCAGCCTGACAGATTTAGCCCTCTTGCCCGAGAGCAAACTGCGCAGTTCCTTGGCTTCGGTTGGAGCTCGAGCAGTGGAACACTTTTTGATGCAGGCTCCGGTGCAAAAGTTGCTGGAGCTGTCCAGTGCGGAATTCGATTATGATCTAATCATAGTCGACTATTTCTACACAGAGGCGATGCTCGCGCTGGGCTATAAGCATAATAAGCCCACAATTGGCGTAATAAGCACGGATTTTGGCAACTATATGAATGCAGTGCAAGAGGCTTTGCTGCCCGTCGCCTGTTCGCCCATAGATTACGAGGCGTATACTAAGGATTTGGGTTTCTCGGCACGCTTGAGCAATATACGCGAGTGTATGGCGAGACGTAAGCAATTTTACAATGAACATTACACAGCACAGGAACAAATAATACGCAAGCACTTTAAAAGTAAGTTTTATGCTTCTTCGACTTGGCGGCAGAAACTTTGTGAATGAGAAAAGATTTTCATTGATGTGGCAACACTCAACAATGCTTTAATCGATATTTGTTAATTGCTAATCGATATATTTATGCCTTGTTTTGAACTAAAACTTAATTCTGCTTATTGAAATTTCTTGCAGTTGCCATTACCGTACTAGACCTTCAGGCACATCATTTGGCGCTTTTGCTGCTTAACAATCATGTGCCCCTCTGGACGCCACGTCCGCTGCTCCCACAAATTGTGCCAGCTGGTGGACTGCATATACGAGGGCCTCGCGAATTGATGTGGAATGTCAAACGATTTGTGGAGGAGTCTAAGAACGGTGTCATCTACATACAGTTGGGCAACGAACAGCCCTGCGGCCAACTGCCCCAGCCGAAGCTACAAATACTCTTTGATTTTATGAGTGCACGCAAGGAGCGTTTCATATGGACCTGCCACGATATAAAGACGCTGCAGGGCCTCCCCAAAAATGTGCTCATTCAGCACTCTGTGCCACAGATTGACATCCTAGCACATCCGCACGTGCGAGCTTTCATCATGAATGGGGATCTGTTGAGTCTGCAGGAGGGCATTACGCGTCATGTGCCGATGCTAGGTTTGCCCAATTTCCGGAATGAACGCAAAAATATGCAACTGGCTGTGGATCTTGGCGTTGCGCTGCAACTGGAGCACAGCAACTTTACGACTGCCGCTCTCAACTGGGCTCTGGATGAGTTGACAAAGCAACAGCATTTTCAGCTTACTATTCGCGAGGTTTCCAGCGAATTCCGGGATAGGCCTTTGGGAGCCTTGGCCAATGCCATGTTCTGGGTGAATTATGTGGTACGGCACAAGGGCGGCGCTGCGATCAGGACACGTGGCATAGATATTGCCTCTAATCATTTGCACCTTTTTGATTTGTTTGTATTTTATTTCGGTCTGACCATTGCTGTTTGTGTCGTATTGGTCGCCATCTACTTTGGAGTCTGTTATGCCCTGCAAAGAAAACGTAATGATGCCAAACTAGCAAAACTAAGTTAAATTCACGCTTGAATTTAATAAAAGCCAAAGCAAATTAATAATGTGTTTGTTTGAATTGAATATTAAACCGATTTGAATTTGCGCCATTTACAGAGTTGCACTGCGTCCGATAGTCAGGCACATGATACAACTCTGTCAAATTAAAAGTGCTGCCAAGTTTTCCGCAAACGACGGTGGCCATCTTCCTTTCTAAAGAATCGCGTTCGCACAGCAGACGTGTTTAAAACCTTTTTGAGTGTTTTAAAAGGTAATAAATGTTTCAATTTATGCGCAAATGCCTTAAAAATGTCCTGAATATTGTGTAAATGCTGCGACATATGAATGCAGGCTGACTAAACGTGTTTACGGCGTGTGGTGAGCGCAGCGTGTCACACGTGGAGTCCCGAGTTGCTCAGCGGAGCAGCTAACCCATTGAGGTTATGTTGAAAACAGAAACAACAATAAATAGCCTGTGAACTGTGACAACATGCAAATTGGTGTATTAAATCGTAGTCTAATTTGTGTGTGTATATATCTTGCAGCTCCGTCAATATGTCGACTGGTACAACTGCCACAATTCGCACTCGCAAGTTCATGACCAACCGTCTGCTTGCCAGGAAACAAATGGTCTGCGATGTCCTCCATCCCGGACTCTCATCGGTCAACAAGACCGAGATCCGTGAGAAGCTCGCCGCCATGTACAAAGTAACACCCGATGTTGTGTTTACTTTCGGTTTCCGCACTAACTTTGGTGGTGGCCGCTCCACTGGCTTTGCCCTGATCTACGATACTCTGGACTTTGCCAAGAAGTTCGAGCCCAAATACCGTCTGGCTCGTCACGGTCTCTTCGAACAGAAGAAGCAAACACGCAAGCAGCGCAAGGAACGTCGCAACAGAATGAAGAAGGTCCGTGGTACCGCCAAGGCCAAGATCGGTACCGGCAAGAAGTAAAACAATCTAGCTGGCACATCAATATGATATTGTGTGTGTGTGTTGCTGGTGGCGCGCACCTGCAATTCCAAAAATTAACTGCTGCGTTAGTTGTACTTTTATAAATCCAATGACAACAAAAAAATCCGTTGTTTACTTTTTGGAGCGGCTTTAGTTTTATATGCTTAAGGAAATAAAACTCTAAAAGTAAATTACATTCATGTCTTTGCATATCTGAAAGTGTAAATTGTGAAATATTATACAGAATTGTACATATTTAGCTAACTAAAGGCAACAATTGCCGTAAACAAATACAATATGCATTTTTAGTTGCTACGACTGCGCTGCCATACTTGTCAAAGTACAGCACGTTCTAAGTGGCAATACACAATTTGTAGCAGTCTGGCCACATCTGTCGAGCCTTTCAACCCTACTAGCAACGCTACAAAAATTTATTTGCAAAAAAAAAAAAAACGAAACCGGAAAAAGTTTCATATACAGAAATTGTATAAAATTGTTATAAATGTCAATTGCTAGGCAGGCCAGCATAATCAACAATTCTTCGTAGCGCCAGCCACGCAACTTTTAGTTTTGGGAAATGTCGATTTGTGGGAGTGGTGGTGGTGGCAGTGGAAGCAGTGGCGGCAGCAGCGGCATCAGCGTCTCGGCTGGCGATTGGATTTGCCCAGATATTGAGTGAGTGCGCGTAAAGCTTCAAGCGTAAAGATCTATGGGCAAAATGCAAAGCATCCAGCACTACAACAACAACTACAAACTATATACAACCCTTCTATCTCCCTTTTTAACATAACCGACAAAAATGCAATAACAATATATTTGTTGTTTTGTTACTCTTATTCTTCCTCCATCCGCATCTGTGTGTGGCATGCGTCTCTTTCGCTCTCTCTTTCTCTCCTACTCTCACTGAATGTGTGTTGCAGCTGTCGCCATTTGAACTTTGCGCGTCGCCTGCAATGCAACAAATGCAATCGGGAACGCGAAAATATCAATAGTGAGAAACCAGACAGAGATCGAGACCGAGACCGAGGCAATGGCAGTAGCGGTAGCAGCAGCAGTTCTTCCAAAAAGAAACTGGGCACAGAGATTGGCAAAGTAGCCGCAGATAAATCACGAGGACTGTTCAGCGCAGAGGATTGGCAGTGCAGCAAGTGTGCAAATGTGAATTGGGCGCGACGGCAGACTTGCAACATGTGCAACGCACCCAAATTCACGGATGTGGAGGAGCGCACAGGTAATTAAAGGCAGTTGATACCATAAAGGCAACCCACTAATAAAATTGAATCACTGGCAGGCTTCGGTGGAGGCTACAATGATCGCGGCGTTGTTGAGTACAAGGAGCGCGAGGATTCGGACAGCGAATACGATGAATTTGGTCGGCGTAAGAAGCGTAAAAACAATGATAGGGGTGGCGATGAAGATAGCCGCAACAGAGGCAGAGATGAGCCGAAACGCGCACGACGTAGTGATATTGAGGGCGATGAGGAGGAGGAGGAGGATGATGACGATGATGGAGATTTGTCCAAATACGATTTGTGGGGCGACAATGAGGTGAGCTCCAGCAATGTGAAGAGCAAGGACACGGACAACGGGACTAGCAACAACAGCAGCAGCGCCAAGGAGAAGCTAATGCCAGCAACAACTGCCAGCAGTAAAAGGGCATCACGTGCATCCACCTCGTCCATTTCCTCATCATCCTCATCCAGTTCGTCCTGTTCCAGTGACTCATCGTCAACTTCTTCATCGAGTAGCTCTAGCAGCAGCAACGCTTCCAATAGCAAGCGTGACCGGAGACGTTCAGATGGACGTTCCCGTTAGGGACGGGGATCTACTCGATTCGAATCTCCGTTGGGAGAGAACTCACCTTGTTTTTTTTCACTTTATTGTGAGAGTTAACAATTGTTTATTTATTTTTCTAAGCCCGCGCCACTCACCCATGACATGTATTTGAGCTCCACCACTTCAAACCCTCTGCAAGAAAATCAATAAAATCATATAATTTAAGAAATTTTCATTGGCCTCAACTTTATTGCAAGTAAATTATTTAATGGAAGGTTTCATCCGATTGCTTGCGTGTGGCGGCTGCCGCTGCTTCACGCAACTCTTGCAGCTGTGCGAGTTGCTGGCGCGCTTCCTCGATTTGCACTTCTGTGACAGTTACTGGAACATCGCAATCGATTTGCTCCTGGCGGATGAATACCATCTTCTTGATGGCATCCTCTAAGAAAGGTATTTGTTGCTCTTGTAGCTCTTTGTGATAAGCTTCTAAGCGCTCATCCTTAATTTTCTCGCAGTAAATATCGGTTAGCTTCTGCAGCGATTCTTTGCGCGTTATCCAATGGAACTTCGTTGGCGGTGGCTTATAGACTAAGTCCAGCTTCTCCAAAATCCACTCGAAACGTCGGTAATCCCACCGTCTGAGATACTTCAAAAACTTCTTACGCTTGTCGATCATCTCCTTTAGACGCACTTTGATCATCTTGTCGCGAGGGTGCACCTCCATGTGTGACTGGTAGCGTCGTATAAGTGCCGTCATTCTAGCCACTGTAGCAGGAATAGACAATAGAAAAAGGCAATATAATATCTAATCCAATTCTTTCCATGTCGTGGCTTACATATGATTTATCATAATCTACTTACATTTGGCCTCCATAGAGCCATAGTCTTGCGCATGCCGCTGCACCTCCTTGATCATTTGATCGCGATAATAGCGCGTTGTTAAACTGTTCCGATTGTTACTAAGCAAAAACATTGATTTGACCGCTTCATTGGCACTACAAGAAGAATATAATATTATTAGAATTGTTTGTAAATGTATATTAATAGCTTACTAACTTGGCCAACTCCTTGGAATCTTTGTAATCCGGCAGCAGCTCATTGGGATTCAGCGGTGGCAGCTTTGCCAGATCGCCACTCTTCTCTGGCTTTATGCATGATATCTTTTCGGGTCGTACCCATTTGATTTTCAGATCCGACTTGAACGCATAGTCACGCACAAATTGGCGTGGGACAGCGTGTGCTATATTTAATAGCTTATTCATAAATAACAAATTTTAATATTACACTTTGCTGCTCGAGGTTATATCACTGGGCCAGTGTGCACACACTCCACTAAATGCATTTACGGCCACACCAGCTGACTTGAAACAGTGTGACCTACTATGCGGGAATGCTCCAAAACAGCTGCATTAGCTGTTTTTTCCTTTTTTTGTGCGTCTGTTAATGAGACCAGAAAGTAAAGCAATTGTGAAGTTGAAAAATAATAAACTTTTTATATCAAATTGGATTTGTAATAATTTACAATGACGCACATGTCACATATGCTACCGCAAACGTCAACAACGCCTGTCGTTTCGACTGGCAGCTCATCTCGCACAATGTCACTTATGGAGAAACAAAAATATATCGAGGACTATGATTTCCCCTACTGTGATGAAAGCAGTAAATACGAGAAAGTGGCAAAAATCGGCCAGGGTACATTCGGGTATGTTAGAGAAGCCAGCTTATGTCAAAAATTAATTTTCTTATTGTTATATTTACAACGCAGCGAGGTTTTCAAAGCACGTGAAAAAAAAAGTAACAAAAAATTTGTTGCCATGAAAAAAGTGCTTATGGACAATGAAAAGGAAGGCGTAAGTAACCACTGATGACATGACGGAATACTAAAGGAAAATATATATATATTCTTTGGTAGTTTCCCATCACGGCTCTGCGTGAGATTCGAATCTTGCAACTACTAAAGCACGAGAATGTGGTCAATCTCATAGAGATATGCCGAACCAAGGCTACAGTGCACAACGGATATAGATCGACTTTCTATTTGGTCTTTGATTTCTGTGAGCACGATTTAGCTGGTCTGCTGTCCAATATGAATGTTAAATTCAGTTTGGGAGAAATAAAGAAAGTCATGCAGCAGCTGCTCAATGGACTCTACTATATACATAGTAATAAGGTACATACTTCAAAATGATACCATTACCTATAAATGATTTAACTTATTCGGAATTAATTAACAGATTCTGCACCGCGACATGAAAGCTGCCAATGTACTGATCACAAAACATGGCATTTTGAAACTGGCCGATTTTGGTTTGGCCCGTGCATTTAGCATTCCTAAGAATGATTGCAAAAATCGTTATACAAATCGTGTTGTTACCCTGTGGTATCGTCCGCCGGAATTGTTGCTCGGTGACCGCAACTATGGTCCGCCTGTGGATATGTGGGGAGCGGGCTGCATTATGGCTGAAATGTGGACTCGTTCGCCCATTATGCAGGGCAACACAGAACAGCAGCAGCTTACCTTTATATCACAGCTATGCGGCTCCTTTACCCCAGACGTTTGGCCGGGCGTCGAGGAGCTCGAGCTGTACAAATCAATCGAGCTTCCAAAGAATCAAAAGCGACGTGTCAAAGAGCGGCTGCGTCCGTATGTCAAGGATCCCACTGGCTGCGATTTGCTAGACAAACTTTTGACTCTAGATCCGAAGAAACGCATCGATGCGGACACAGCACTGAACCACGACTTCTTCTGGAATGATCCCATGCCCAGTGATCTGAGCAAAATGCTGTCACAGCATTTGCAAAGCATGTTCGAATACCTGGCGCAACCGCGTCGCAGTAATCAGATGCGAAATTATCATCAGCAGCTGACGACAATGAATCAGAAACCACAGGATAATAGCATGATCGATAGAGTTTGGTAGATTGTAAGCCCTACATTAAGTTTAGATATTAACGTATACAATTGTAATTGCTGTATATGCAGCGATTTGAACTATTTTCAGATTAAAACAAAAAAAAATAAAAAATATGTACTATAAGTTAACCTAAACTCAAACTATTTAGGAATGGCAAATGAACAGAGGTGCTAGAAAGGTAAATATTTTCAACAGAATAATGATAATCTACAGATTTGTTTACTTTGAGCTGCTTACCGACCGTGCGTTTTAATGTATCAGTGTGTACACACTTATGTTTATTATTTGGTATTTTTTAGGCCCGTTCTGGACAAAGATGCACATTGAACAAAAAACGAACAAAGTGAAAAAGGCAGAGAAAAAGCAACGACGCAGCTTGGCAATTATAAAAGCCGACTGTAATGTCTCGCAAAGTAACTCGCCCACTCTCTACTTGGCCATACTCAACGTGGGACTTAGCAATGGACTCACCGAAGAGGCGCTGCTGGCGGCAGCCGCTGCAACAGGCGGTCAGGTGTCTCAGGTGCTGATGTTGCCATCGAAATCGTATTGTTTTCTTATGTGCACCACATTGGCGGATGCGCAGCTTGTGTATAATGGCATGCATAATCGGGCGACCATTGGACAGAAGGGCGCCGTTGCCTATCTTAGCTATGTGATGGAATTGCCTCAGCAAAGAGAAGAAAACGGCTGGCAGAAGCCTCTACCAGGAGGACTTGTGCTACTGCCGGATTTCGTGAGTGAAGCGGAGGAGACAGCGTTGCTAGAAGCTATCGCTGTTGGTGATGCCAGCACTGCGGACAGCCTAAAGCACAGGCAAGTCAAGCATTTCGGCTACGAGTTTCTCTATGGCAGCAACAATGTGAATCCGTTACAACCCCTCGAGCAGGGTATTCCAGCTGCTTGTGATTTTATGTGGCAGCGTTTGGATTTACCAGCATTTGAGCCACCCGATCAACTCACAGTCAATGAGTATGAACCAGGACAGGGTATACCGCCGCATGTGGACACGCATAGCGCCTTCAAGGATCCCATACTGTCGCTCTCACTGCAATCTGATGTTGTGATGGACTTTCGACGTGGGGATCAGCTCGTCCATGTGCTGCTCCCACGTCGTTCTTTGTTAGTCATGTCAGGGGAGTCGCGGTATGATTGGACACATGGCATCCGACCAAAGCATATCGATGTAGTGGCCACGCCATCGGGCAGTCTGACAACTCAAGCACGTAGTAAGAGAACCTCTCTTACCTTCAGACGCCTACGTCGTGGTCCTTGTGATTGTCAATATCCCACGCTGTGCGATACGCAACAGACGGCAACTCCTCAAGAGGTGTGTGATAAGCTGGCCACCCATGCCAGCCACCTGGAGCAGCAGAATGTGCATGAGGTCTACGACAAGATTGCAAACCATTTTAGCGATACGCGTCACACACCCTGGCCACAAGTTGCCGAGTTCCTAAACTCTTTTGAGCCACAATCTGTGCTGCTGGACGTGGGATGTGGCAATGGAAAGTACTTGGGCTGTAATCCTCAATTGCTGTCCATTGGCTGTGATCGTTCACTGGGCTTGCTGGGCGTAGGAAACGCGCGTGGCCTTTCGGTCTTTCGTTGCGATTGCTTGCAGCTGCCGGTGCGCAGCTCCAGCATCGATGGGTGCATTAGCATTGCGGTTATTCATCATCTGGCTAGCAGCGAACGGCGGTTAACAGCACTTCGTGAGCTCTGTCGCGTGCTACGTCCAGGTGGGAAGGCGCTTGTCTACGTCTGGGCCAAGGATCAGCGGAGGAACGACAAGAAATCGACGTATTTAAGGCAAAATACAGCCGTCAATAAGGAACACACAACGGAACAGGCGCAGCGTCAGAAGCTTGCACGACAGCTGGAAAGCATGGATCAGCAGTTGCCAGTTCCTTTACCAGTGCACACGAATCGAACGGAGTTCCAGCAGCAGGATGTCTATGTGCCATGGAAAACCAAAGATGAACAGCGCACAACTTTTCTACGCTACTATCATGTCTTCGAGGAACTGGAACTGGAAAAGCTGGTGGATCAAATGGAAGGAGTTGTGATTAGGAAAAGTTACTATGATCAGGGCAATCATTGTGTGATCTTTGAAAAGAGCTGATAGATAATATAAGACTAAAGACAAACCTGTTTCAAATTCTATGTAAATATGTTTATCAGATTATCACTTGTATCACATATACATAAATGCTGTAAACTTTTCAATAAAAATATGTTTATGTAACGTAAATTCTATTAATGACTGAAATGCTGTCAGTTGAATGAATTATTCCGTTTATTTGATTTCAAAAAATACACATCCACATTATATTTATTTAATAGCGAATCGAACGTAGACCAATTGTAAATTAATTAAGCTTAACTCTGACCCATTCAAATGGCTTGTTTATATTTATTTTGTATTTTTATTATTATTGTAGCTTTGGACCATAAATTGACAATTCCTTAATAACAACATGTGTTCCGTTCAATAATCCAGTTTTTCCTGTTATATTTGGTATGGATTCTGTTTTAGATAGCAGGGATTAAAGAGCTTATTGAGTCGATACATGTGCGGGTGTCTATATACATAAGAATTGTTTTAGACAGAGAGTTGACAGCTTATATAGTATTTAGTAAAGGTTATTAGGGGATTGAATTAAGCAAGTATATTGCTTAAGAAATTTAAGTAACATAACTAAAATATAAATAACTACCTAGAGAAGAAAGAGCAAATGGTTTTCTGTGCTGCCATCAGTTCTATATATAATTCATATAACTATCATATACTAGGTACATCAAGTGAAACTGTTTGAAAATGCATGCTTAACAACTAAAAGGATACTCGTACATACATATATATTTATATAAATATATGTATATCTATATAGAATTATATATCTTTAAAATGACGTCTTTATAATAAACGTACAAGTACAAGTAGTTTTAAAAACACTTAGAACTCATCCTGGGCACTTTCTTACTTGACAATTCTATATTACAATATCGTATTGTAGGAATTTAAGTTTATAGACTAGTTTTACAGTTTCAACGTTTCGTTTTTGGTCGTGGGTATTTGATATGTTAGCTAGTAGTAGGTAAGAGTAAGTTAAGTTAGTAACGCTTTAGACTACCTTCAATTGTTCTTTGTGCCTACAAGCTATATAGTGGGGTTCATTCTCAACTACCTCTAGGGTATATACGTGTATAGACTACTAGTGAAAAACATAGAGGTGTATATAGATGTATAAACATGTGTTGGTGCCCTAGGTTTTGGCTATATCTAGTCATATTTAGGTGTATGCGTGTATATGTATATAGATATAGAAGAGAACATGTAAAGATATATATATATCGTATATAACGTCATCAACAGGTTTTCAAGTCTGCCTATGTCTAGGGTTAAACCAG